TTTGCTCCACCTGTATTCCAAAGGTGCATAAATATCATCCAGAGTCAACAATTGGCCAAGGTTTTTTATGAAGTTCTTTTTTACTTCTATGCTCATCAACAATTTTCCAACTTTAATTTGTTAAATTGTGCTTTCCTCTTCGTGGTTGACTGATGCTTTTATAGATTTTTTGTTCACTGTAATTAATCACCTCAATCAAGCAGCATATTGACTAGTGCCTTGATTATTTGTTTAATTTGTGTTCTGTTCTGTCATGTTATTATGTGCTTGGTTTAGGGGATTGAGATGCTTAGCCAAGACTATCTTAAATTTCCTTGTGCAATATATGTCAAGTACAGTGCTTTCCTTTAACTTGTGTTGCATTAACAATATATGTTCAAATTTATTTGATTTGAAAAGCTTAAAGCTAAAATAGATATAGAAAGAAATCAGTTGCATTTATCTGCACCTTCATATATGTGTGTGTGTATTATATTATCCACTAGTGAAAGTTTTTGCATGTAATTTTGATACACTTCACCACATGATTTTTCAATCTGATGTTCTATTTGCATAGTAATGTTACTCCAACCTGTGCCTGAAACCTCAAAGCAACTGAATCATTTTCTTAATCTCATGATGCTTTTCTCTTTGCATAATGCTTACGGGATATATGATTATTTCTCTGATCTATAAACATATTTCAGTTTTAGTTTTTTGAAGAAATTGATGGAATTTATATTGCAGGTTGATCCTGTTTCATCTGGGGTTCAGTATGATAAGGAGTTCATTGTATGCGCACTTGATTTGCTCTCTGGACTGACGGAGGGCCTTGGTAGCGGAATAGAGAGTTTGGTACTTGCTTTCTCCTTGCATCCTTTTTTCGTTTCTTGAACTGAAGTGGGCTATTCTTTTAGTCCATGGAATTATGTATTTAATGAGAAATCATGTGTAGCAAGATTTTTTACCATTATCCAATGTTAGGCGCTGGAGTAATTGCAGAGAACACATGGATTATTGTAATGAGCCAATGGACTATTATTCATGGAAACTTTCTTACGCTATATGTCCCTTAAAATTTTCGCATTTCCTGCCTTGTTGTATAATGGATTAATTGTCATCATACCTAGGTTTCGAGGACTTGTCCATTTGTTCCTGATATTGGGTGTGCAAACTGGAAATTTTCCTTAACTATAAAATTTATGATAAGTTAAAACGTGTAATGTGAACTGAGATGTTGTTTTGCACACATGGACCTTTTATATGCCAGGTTTCACAGAGCAATTTGAGGGATCTGCTTCTGCAGTGTTGCATGGATGATGATGCTTCTGATGTTCGTCAAAGTGCATTTGCACTTCTTGGGGACCTTGCAAGAGTACGTTAAAAATGAACTCACCACTTATTGCTAGTCTAGAGCTATAGACTAAATAAAACATCACTTTTCTACCTCTAAGGACATGAAGCTTGCAAGTCAATTATTAGATAAGTCTCAATTATGGTCAATTATAAAACATCCCTTCTTGAGGACTTTTCTGCCACTTATGTTAACTGTATTCAAATGTTGGACTTTGATTAGGTGTGCCCTGTTCATTTGCATCCTCATTTGTCTGAGTTTCTTGATATCGCAGCAAAGCAATTGGTAAGGACTCATTTTGGGATTCCATATTTCAGTTTGCCACATTTACATTTTTACAAAGTATATTATGCCCAATGCAGAATACCCCCAAGATAAAGGAAACCATTTCAGTAGCAAATAATGCATGCTGGGCTATCGGCGAGCTAGCAATTAAGGTATGTGTGTTCTGCATTCTCAATCATGATAAAATTAGATTACTTAACGTTTTACTGACTTGCCTTCATAAGTTGATTCCCCTTTGGGTGCTTTGAATCTTTTTTTTTACTATTTGCCTTTTGAATTTCAGGTTCGTCAAGAAATTTCTCCAATTGTCATGTCAGTGGTCTCATGTTTGGTTCCGATCCTTCAGCATGCAGAGGTAATATTCCCTTTCTTTTGGTGAAGTTTGTTGGTATGCATCCTCATATATGCATAACTATTGTTTGTATGTTAGTTCTTGTGTTAGTCATTTTGATGCCATAATCTCATCTCTGTATGATTAGCAGGGGCTCAACAAGTCACTTGTTGAAAATAGTGCAATTACACTAGGGAGGCTTGCATGGGTCTGTCCAGATCTTGTATCACCACACATGGAGCATTTCATGCAATCCTGGTGTATTGCTTTGTCTATGTAAGTATAATTTATTTTCGTCACTTGTAATTGTTGCTTTGATGTAGAGCTAAGTTACACCTGTAATTGTTGCTTCGTCTATCTCAACTCATTTGACAAATAACTGTCAGGATACGGGATGATGCTGAGAAAGAAGATGCCTTTCGAGGTCTTTGTGCAATGGTATGCATCTGTTTTTGTAATAATGTTAATTAACAGTGGCAAGAAACTAATTTGTTCCTGGATGTACACTTTTCCAGGTCAGGGCAAATCCATCAGGGGCTTTGAGTTCACTTGTTTTCATGTGCAAAGCTATTGCAAGTTGGCATGTAAGGATGCTGTTATTAGTTGTATTTTAGGCTTTTGTGTCATGTTAAACTAAAGTTTGACCTCGACTTTTTTCTCTGCCTGTAGGAAATAAGGAGCGGAGAACTACATAATGAAGTTTGTCAGGTCTTGAATGGTTACAAACAGGTAGGCATTTGTCATAGTCAGCTTTGCTTTTGCTGATTATACCTTCTTGCTGGAAGTTTGTGGTGTTCTGATTATTTTAACTTGGGGCTGTTTGTTTGCCTCTTAATGGAACTATTTAATGTTGAATGTTGAACCATTTAGCATTCAGTGCGTTTGTTTCGCACCTCTGAATGATTCAGTGTTGATTGATTCAGCAAAACAATGCTGAATGATTCAGCACATAAGTACATTCTGAATGATTCAAAGTCATTATCAAACAGCATGTCACATTCAGAGCTAATTCATACAGAACTTCTGAATCATTCAGCGCTTAATCATTCTGAAGTAAACAAACAACCCTTAATATATATTAAAATGATCAAAATCCTTATATTTTGTTTTTGCATGCCTTTTTTGCTTCTATGTACTTGTGCAATCATATGGGTTACGCTATCTCCTTGCCTATGAATCTCTTGTTTTGTGCCCTTTTATTGATTGAATTTTCTTTTTCTTTTTCTTTTCCTTTGCATTCTTTCTTTCTTTATCCAATTAACAAGGGAACTTTAGTACTTTTTGGTTGCTTATTTTTTGCTAAGTATACATTATTATTATAACATGCAATAGACTAGGTTCAGTTACTGAGTCAAGTGAATAAATGTTGCCTGCAGATGCTTAGGAATGGGGCATGGGACCAATGTATGTCTGCTCTGGAACCACCTGTCAAGGATAAACTTTCAAAGTATCAAGTATAAGAACTTGGTCATTATCCATGCTTGTCATTATTCTACATCATTTGTGGTTCTTCAGAGATGTTTATCAGCATCAATACTGTTGGTATATTTTATGCATTATCGGACTGTATTGGAGCTGCGATTTGTATAAGCTAATTTCGATAGGTGGTCGTGGATTTTTCCGAGACAAAGCATATCATTTTTGTTGTCTTGAAACAAGTTGGCTTTGTCCCCATTATGCATGGTTTCGAGGAGGGGGAGGGGTATTTATGTATGGATTTTAGCATGCAGGAATATGCAGCCTCCAAAAAGTTTGAAGAGGGAGTTCTATTTGGTGTTTAGTAATTGAAACATGGGGTAAGGTAATCTGGTTCAAGCATTTGCATTTGTTATTTTTAACTGAGACATTTTCTTGGTTTGATTGTTTTGTGAGATAGGGATAGGGTTTTGATCTGTGGATTCCACAGATTTTTTGTACAAGGGCTTTCATTGTCTTCTATTATTCCTAGTTTTGGGGTGTTATTTTCTGTATTATTCTAGATCTGAAACATACTATTGGAATTGGAGGGTTGATTTTTTCTTTGTTTTTTACTGTTTGCCTAAATAACAATAAATGTTAGGCTGGTCTCTCAGTCTGATTCTTTGAATGCCATACTGTGTTTCTTTGTTTTGATCATATTTGTTTAATTATTGTATTAAGTAGTTCTAATGTTGCTTATTTCTCCGGCGCTACGATATCTTGAAAGCTGTTTTGCTAAGATCCCTATTGGTATCATTCGTTCGATTGTCGAGCCGGAAACCGCTACTTGAATACACGTTAGCAGAGGATTTTAGCAATCCCTGATATGTCCATTAGTTCAAGTGGAATCAAGCAACAAAATGTGCACAAATAACAGCATAAAAAGGAGCTTTACGAAGGGTTTCACTTGGCAAGTTTGATGACGGAGTCCCAACAGTTTTGATTCCAGAGGACAAACCCAGTTAAAAACGCACGATTGTCCTTCGGCAAATGACAGCCAATCTGAGGAAGTAAAAAAAGTGGGGATATGAATTTCACATCGAAAAAGAAAATGAAGATCCTGGAGTTTATGAACGGTGGGATTTTATTTCCTATTAGATATGTCTTGAGAGGAGGTGATAAGTGGTGTCTAAGCGGTTTTTTATTATTTGATTTCACGCAAAGTATACAGTGGATAAGATAGACAGGATGGAGAATCATGACGATACCTCATGATGAGGGCGACGTAGAGAGAATCTCACGTCTTAAAGAAATAGGGTTGCGAATCTTACATCAGAAAATAAGAGACAAATTTTGAAATTTATAAATATGGTCTTATATATTCCTTATCGTATGTTTTTGAAAATAAAGTAATGATTATGTGATAAAATGCAAACCTTTATTAATAACAATGAGACATATATGTTTTTTATCAACAGTGATCAGAATTATGAGTGTGTTTTTCATCGTGATTACCTCAAACAAAGACAAAAGAAGCATCTGAGAATACAAACTAAACCTTAAAATTAACTCTCCCTGGAAATTCTTTCACATTTACCAATCATCATTGAAAAAGATGAAATAAAATCCGTTTTATGTCACCATTTCCCATTCATGGAAACTTGTATGATTAAAGAAGCCAGCAACATGAACCTTAATCATTCTTCAATAAACTCCCACTCTCCAACTTTTCTCTTACACGACGGCTTCCCTTCATCCCATCAAGTTTCAGACATAGAGATGATCAAGATACAGTCGGTTTCTTACACGAGTTTGAAGGACTTGTTGTCTTCTCCAACAGCAGATCAGACCGGGATCAGTACCCCGACGATACACGATAATAAAAATAATAATAGTAGTTATTGGAGTTGTTGGAACGAAGAAATTCCCATAAAGAATCCGCTGGTTAAGCATGCGGCGTTGGCTTATTTGCAGCCTATGTCGAGTCCCACGGCGACGGCGGAAAAGGGTTCGTTTGGGGGGCTTAAGGGAATGTGCTGCCGTGAAAGTGGGTGCCTTTTTTGGCTGTACGATGTCGTTTGGAGCAACGTCAGGGAGGCGGTTTGGGAGAGCAGAGAAGAGGATGATTCTTATGAAGACGATGAAGACAAGGTTGACTGAAACTCAAATCGATGCTTGTTTGACCGGTAGATAATGGTTCAATTTGTAAATATGCACTTTTTTCATAATTATCTAGAGTTCTTTTTTCCTGGATTTTTCTACTTTTTGCACGATGTCCTTGATCGGAGCTTAGAATGCAACTATTAGAATGAAGATTAATTTAAATTGATTAGAAAATTTTTAATTTAATAATTAAAATACTAAATTATATATTATTGATGAATAAAATGTGAGTTGTAGAAGGTTGTTTGCAGTTTACACAGTTCAAAATGATTTTACATACAATCATAGAAACTGATTTTAGTCATTTATTAGTTGTTCTAATATAATAAATTATCAAATTCTTTTGATAAATATTAAGAGTTTAAATTTTGATATATTTTTATTTTGAGTTAAATTAGTGTTAAAGTGATTATTTAAATATTAAAATACGATAAAAAAAGTTTAAATAGCATTGTACCAAAATGAAAAGGATAAATATAAGTAGAGACGGATATAAGATTTTATGTTAGGGGCGAACTTATAAAATTTTAGAAGAATTTATAAAACTTTAAAAGATAAAAATAAATTGTTAAATGAAAAATATAAAAAAATATTTAAATTATATGAAAATTTAAAATTTTTAAGAATAATTTAACTTTTTTTTACGTGATAAAGCTAATACATGGGAGTAATTATTTAATGGTCGAGTTTGATTAGTCTCAATTACATTTAAGTCTTTAACACCAATATCATCTATGGCTATTGACTGAAATTTTCATAACCACAAACAAATGACAAATCATTTTCTTAATTAATGGTGCAAGAACTCCATTCCTACACGCCTGTTTTGGGTCATTGTGATTGCTGTTGATTTGCTGTTTTGGTCGCCTTTTATTGTCTACCCTTTTCTTCTACCTTTTTCTTTAGCCAAGATGTTGTATTTAATCTAGATTAATCGTATCGAATTCGAATATGAATTTACATGTCTATACACAATGTCCAGTTGTCCCTATGCATTTGTCGTTGGTCTTTTACAATTGTGTAGGAGGTTTGTTTACAATTGTTTTTCTAGCTATATGGGTTGTACAACAGAAGCTATCACCAATAATCACCGCAAGAGCAATTTCCGTCTTCAAAGTGATGAAACACCTTGGAGTCTCCCACTACTATCTCTCTTTTACTAATCTTTGAGATCCTCTTTGCAAAATTGTGGCAATCCTCGCAAATTCTGATGTTCTTTCTAACGAGAACCGGAGACCCCAACTTTGTCGAGATCAATCCGAAAGAGATGGCCGATCTCACACTATGATTCTCTGGTACATTTGGTTTCTTTCTTGTCAAATCTGTTCTTCTCAACTTGGTAATACGACGAGCATAAACATCTTCCTCCTCCGCTGTCATTTTCACAATGATATCCATCACGTCATTGACCATGTTCACCTCAGCGTTTGACCCATCTTGATCGACAAACCTGTGAACTTTATAGTCTTTCTCAACTGCACTACATCCCATTGTTTTTGCTATGCCTTCTTGAATCATAAGTGTTTTGATCTTCTCAACATCTTCCCACCTCCCAGCTTCGGCATACATATTAGAAAGCAAGATGTAACACCCTGTATTGTCATGCTCCTGTGATAAAGCATGCTTGGATGCAGCTTCTGCTAATTCAATGTCGTTGGTTTTTCTACTTGCAGATAGTAGAGAACCCCAAATCCGGGCGGTTGGGACAAGCGGCATTTCTTCAATAAAATGCTTAGCTTGATCAAGATTCCCAGTTCGACCAATAAGATCCAGCATACACCCGAAGTGCTCTATTCCTGGGTCAATACCGTAGTCTCTTTCCATTGAATTAAAGTACTCCCACCCTTCATCGACCATGCCAGAAATGCTGCAAGCTGATAATAGAGAAACAAAAGTGCTCTTGTTCGGCTTGATACTGTTTTCTATCATTTCGTGGAATAACTGGATGGAAATTCTCCCGAACCCATGAATGGCATAAGCCATAATGATTGTGTTCCATGACACAACATCTTTACAAACCATGCCATCAAAACATCTCCTTGTAGTCTGGAGATCTCCACACTTGGCATACAAATAAATAATCGAATTTGAGATGATGGTATTAGACGAACTAAGCCCCAATTTCGTAACAACAGCATGTATTTGCCTACCCTCACTCAAGGAGGTTACTTCAGCATATGCTGGTAATATACTTGCAAATGTTATTGCATCAACTTTAACGGAGTTGTACCAAATGTCTAGGAACAGTTCCAAGGCTTCTGAATACCATCCATTATGTACATAAGCAGCAATCATCGCATTCAATGATGCCAAGTTCTTTCCTTTGATTCGCGTAAAGACATGTTCAGCCAGTTTCAACTTCCCACACCTCCTGTAAGAATCAACCAGAGCAGTCTCCAATACTATATGAGGGAGAAACCCTTTTCTGATTGATCTAGCATGAATAGACTTAACCATCAAAAGGGCTCCCGTTTGTGCGCAAGCTGGAAGTAAGTTTATCATTGTGATAACATCTGGCATCAGCTTACCAACATCTTGCATCTTCTTAACACAAGAGAATGACTCATAGAAACGAGCATTGGAAGCATACCCAGCAACCATAGCATTCCAAGCGACCATGTTTTTGTCAACGATCATGTCGAACACCCTCTCTGCATAAATCACATTTCTGCATTTCCCATACATATCAATTAGTGAGGTTTCCACTCTAGGATCCATTTCAAACCCATTTCTAATAACCTGACAATGAATCTCTTTCCCATTTCTTCCACAACCCTCCACAGAACAGGCCCCAAAACTGCTAATAAAACTGAAACTATCCGGTCTGATTCCTACCGAAACCATTTCCCTTAAGCAAACCAACGAGCTCAAACCATCACCAACTAGTTGGTACCCAGAAACCATAGCATTCCAAGAAACCAAGTCCCTCACAGACATCTCCTCAAACACATTCTCTCCTGATTCGACGCACCCGACTTTCATATACATAGAAATAATAGAGTTACAAATATAAACATCCAAGTCTAATCCAACCTTAATTAATTTCGCATGAACTTTTTCCCCTTCCTTCAAAGACAATAACCCAGCAAAGGCCTTGAGCACAAATGGGTATGTAAATTTATCCGGTCTAATTCCTCCAAATTCCATCCTGTGGAAATAACTAATTGCTTCATCGAACAACCCTTTTTGGACTAAACCCTTAATCACAATATTCCAGGAGAAGGTATCCGAGTGGTTCATTTCTTCAAACAGGTAGAGTGCATCATCTATCGACCCGGAATCAATGAAGGAATAAAGTGCATCCATGAGTGTGATATTGCTCCGTTCGGTTAAGGTTTTTGAAGCATTGGAATGGGTTAAACGGAGTTGATTTGGTTTGGGAAATCTTGGTCTGGTTACAGCGTCATGGCTTTGGTTTGGGTTGGGGGGTTCGAAGGGGTTCAAAGAAACAATTCTGGGTGCGTTGAAATTGGGAAAGTAATTGTGAGTGAGTAGAGTTGCAGCCATTTTGAAGTTGGTATCAAGATTCAGCAGTTGGAGAGATTGCCACTAGAAATCAAAAGCTCCTCTTTGGATTTCTAGAATGTAATAGCGTAACCGTTAATTCTGTTTCAGTCAGCGGCCACCTTTCATCAAACCCATTAGTATTATAGTATTTTATTACTATTAACTGAGACGGCGGAAACAATAAGGGTAAATTTTCTATTTAGTCACTCACTTATTCTTGTATTTTTATTTTAGTTAAATAAGTATTTAAAAAAAATCATATCTAACATTTTCGTTATTGTTTTGATCACTCTCCATACAAAAATTAATGTTGATATTGATGTAATATTTATATTATTTCAAATTTTAATATCATTTTTATTTCATCGTTAATCATATTTTTAATTTTTTTGAATAAAAGCCGCTAGTTTTATCAAAAGAAAAATATCCAAAATTATAATGAATGTTTACAACATAACCGTAAACTAAACACATAATTAGGATATTTTCCTATAACTATTAACACAAGAAACTAGCCACTCGAGATCACACAAGGACTATATAAGGAAAATGTTAAAAACCCAACCAAAATACTCGAACAAATATAGATACGAAAAGATTTGACTGCATCGGCAAACGAACCACAAAAGATGATAAAAACTATCGAAAGACCACTGACAAACCGCATATCAGAGTTGAGCGACGTAGGAAACTATCCACAAACGCAATCACGTATCCTAATTCAACCACAGTGTCCAAAGCAGGAAAAATCATAAAGATAATAAATAAGCGTCTCCTTGATCAGTTGAAGCGTGGTCAAATCCAACCCTGAGAATATAAAATCGAAAAAAAAAAATCAAACGACAAAAAACATACCAAAAGGCAGAAGAGAACATGTCATAAAGGCAGAGAAAATGGCTACAAGGACAGAGAAAACCTACAAGGACGGAGAAAACGTGCTACAAAAACAGAATTATTGAAAACTAAAAATCAAAATGAAAATAAAGATATAATATAAGAAAATAAGTGAAAAATAAAAAACACCGGCGATTGACAACTAGCACTAAGGTTGATGTCGCCGTCGATCAAACAAAAATATAAAAAAAGACGACGTAAGGATTTTTTTTAATATTTTTATTCGACTAATAAGATGATGATTCATCGTGGTCTTATTTTAATATATTCAATAATGTATAGAAAAGTGAGTTTAATAAAATTTTTGAATAGATGAGAATTTCCATTATGATTTAATATTAATAAATAATATTAAAAATAATATTTTGTATTATTATGTAAAAATAAATGTAATATTAATTAAAAATAATTTAATTGGATAAAGTGATTATAATATTGGTTGAAGTATACTAAAAGTTTATGTAAAGCAATTATTATATGAAAAAGGAGACGTTTTAGTCTACTAAAAGTTGATGTAATTTCAGATGGCTTTGATAGTGTGCAAGAAGGCCCTCTTTGGACTTTCGTGGCTTTCTGGTAGGGAAGTATTTGCGTTAGGACTTAGGAGACTGTTACTGCACTCTCTTCTTTCTGTTCCTTCAGGGGCCACTCTGTCTACGTGATACATTGTGATTTCATTAGGCTTTTAGTTGTGGATCCCACATCTTGGAGCCCATTAATAAAATTTTGAGTATTTTTCTTTCCTGTCTCGACTGAATCGAGTTATGAGAAAGATTTTTAACAAAGTTTCATTTACCTTTTTTTTTTTAAAAAAAAAATAAACATTTTAATTCATATACGTTTAAAAAAGTAAATATTTTGGTTTAAATATAAAAGTTATAATTTAATTTAAACATTTTAATCTAAACACATATTTAAGTATTCATATAAAATTTTGGTGATTAAGTATTCAACTCTACAAGTAAAAATAATGTCTTAGCTTTTAAAATGTGTGAAAGAGAATTATTTTGAAAAAATATAATCATTTTTTGGTTCTCTGCAACTTTTGAGATTTATGTTGCAGAGATAATTTTGTAAGGATATTGAGAGTTTTTAGAATATATTGCGTTTTGGTACATACATTAAGTTTTGGGATACATGTAATATCATGCACTTATGCTCTTCGTGTTCTTTACGTTTATAATGAATTATTATTCATCTTGTTTGTAGAGGTAGAAAAGACCAAATCACTTTAAATCTCGTCTCCTGTGCATGTCTTATTTTATGTTGACGTCATTTTGATTATTTTTCTGCTTCCAAATTCCTAACAAAAATGTTTATCGTTGATGTCGGAAGAAGCACCATTTTATATCAATGACTTTAGGACGCTATCAAACAATCTCAATGGTCGAAGGGAGTATCATTCTCCCTCAAGACTTAAGTTCAAACTTAAGGATTATAATCATCCTATGTTATTGAAATAAAAATCCCTGGCTTTAGTATTACTTGCATAGCAATCACTTTGGTATGAAACTGCCTATATGATACACTGCCATTTTACTTACCAAATGATTTCTTTTGTATCATTCGCACTCTATCGATGTTTTTTATTATCAGAAACAGCTTCATTCCTTGTGCGACTGAAACGGTTTCTTTTGTTTTCGACTGTCAGATGATTGCTTTCTTTCAAAGTTTGATGATAGGGAGACCTCCTTAGACTACCAACAGCGAAAGTAGCAACAATACCAAGGTCTACATAAAAAAAAACTGAATTTATTTAATGATCTAAGAGTAAAACAAAATATTATTCTTTATAGAAGATTCGAGTTCAAATAATTACATATGCGTTAATTGAATTAAAAAATCACCATCAGAATACTGGTCAACACCACAAAACATTGCTTCTTGTCATTCTAGATGGTAAAGCTAGCTTGGCATCTAGGAATACAAGTCAGATTTCTTACCTTTCACAGGAGAACATGAGTATTTTATGGTGAAAGAATGGACGGACGAAAGAGACACAATCACTCATATCATCTTATTATGAATTTTTATTACTATTTGTTCTCATGAAATTTCATCTATTAAAAGAAATGAATTACAAGAAGGCAAAAAAAAAATGAAAATTAGCAACAAAATCATAAAAGGTCCCAAGAACTTGAGCAAAGGACGAAAGCAACTGGACTAAATTATAGTTTTTTAAAATGTCGAGTAGTAATTGTATGATTATTTTCTAGGGAACTAAATAGTTTTGAGGATAGGGTTCTGATGTCGTCCCTGTCTACACTAACATCTCAGTAGCAGTAAAATATATAACCTTATTTATACAACAATTAATCGGAAGCTTTTTGCTCAGAATTTTCTGCCGTAGGCCACGTGGAAGGATAACGAGAGGAGGTAGGCAAGGAGCAGACATTGATGTCGATGGGGAACAATCGGTATTGAATGTCATGTTCTCTGAAGATGCTGGCTATTTCCTCTGCAAGTCGGGATCTCCTTTCCAGCCTCTCTCCGATGTCCTGGTAGTTCATTTTGTGAGTTACCCAAAGCGAAAACTTCATCCTGTTCAATTCGTCGAGTTCTTTGACCACAATCATCGGATCAGAACACCAATGGTCTTTTCGGTTGATTACGTAACTGCAAACAAAACGAAATGAATTCAATATACGGTATGATTCAATCAATGGAGATGGTGTTTTCCTGTACGTACTTTGTTATTCTTTGCTTCACGATGGCAATCTTTTCGACTGGTGTAGCAATATGGATGGTGAAGTCGATTAAATCAAGCATATCCGGACTGCGATAAAAGTTTCCAATCGGCGTCGTTGAAAGAACACTGTTGGGAAACACCATCTTCATGTTGTCGTATCTCAAGAAAATGGTGGTCAAAATGTTCATCTCCTCCACCACCAGCTAAAACCACCAAAACATGTTTAGATGACATGATGTAAAACACAAAAATGAATCAAAGATGGCCTTTTTTTTATTGTACCTGCACTCCATTGATCTCGCACCGATCCCCGACATCGAAAGGGTGAATGATGAACAAGAAGATTATGGATTCGAAGATCGTTTTGCAGGTGTTCCCGAAGATGAAGGCCGCTAGGACCAACTGGGAGCTGAAAAGTGTGATTATCCGTGACGAAGCGATTTCAAGAACGACGAGCCAGATTATGACGATGATGGTTCCGGCGACGACGTTTATGATCTTGTGAAGCTTGTTCACTGCCGTCTTTGTGTCGTTCAGGGTCAAGGCAAGAGCTTTTCGCTCTCTATAGGCATTCAACTGAAACAAAAAGCTAATGTATGTATAGATAGAGTTCCAACAATGAACAAATTAGTTCTTTTACAGATTGGTAGGGTACTTATATAGTCCTATTCGTATTCGAATATGTGTCGGACATGGATATTTTAATAAAGATAAAGAGTCGGAGCAATATAGATTCTTACCACCCAATTCTTCAAGGATTTCTTGCTGATTCTACTCTGTTCATAAGCGCCTTCAAAGGTAGCCATTGTTCTCAAAGCTTCGTCTTCTCGCATGAACCGCATCAAATCCTCCAAGTAGATGAATCTATCAACCAAAATGATTGTTCCTTAACAAGTTTATTTTGATCTTTTAACTTTGAAACAAATTCATTTTTGCAATGATACTCACTTCGAGCCACGGCGAGCCACATTATGGAAAATCTTCTTGGCAGCCGCTGTTGCTTCTTTTTCACTTCTGATCTGTTTCACCGAGTCATCCTCCATTATTTGCTCATCTAATGTCGTCAGTGTCCCGTGCCGGACCATCTTCATCAACCTCTTCATGTTCCAAGCCGAAATGTTCTCTTGATTGAGTTTGTGGACATGTTCTAATGCGATCCCGCCATCGGCTTTCTTCAGTGAACCCGATTTAGGAAGTGTTTTCAACCTGGTGAATGTTTTTTTCAACATCCCACTACTCCTCTGTTGTTGTAGAAAGGCATCTTCACGAAGATCTGAGGGCACGGTTGCACCGGCAGTCTGCAACCTTCTGATCTCTGCTGCAGTTCTCTCATCTTCTTCTTCCATCCTTCGGGTTTCGATTACCGGAGAACCGGAGAGTGTCGCTATCACGTATTGGGTGAACAACGTTTCTTGAATCCTATCGAAATAAGTACTAACATGAAAAGATGAGGCCAGTACTTTTACTAGTAGTGTCTTGAGTAACCACAAGAACGTGCTCACCAAGAAACATACGAGGATTTTGGTAACGTATTGAAGAAATAGGCTTTCCTTCTCAACTTGCTTGTCAAACAATAAATGCCAAGCCAAAAGCACCAGGGCTAACCATAAGCAATTCTGCACCGGTCTCTTTACACCATAAACGAAATACAACATCCTTTTCCTTAAAAAGAAGTTCATCTCGATGAAGAAGACGATTATTCGGATTCCCCAACCTGAAACCAATCGGCCGCATATCAAAACCAGCAAGAAAACTAGCCATTTCCATAGCTTAAGTTGCCACAGGTCCAGATCTTTCAATGAAGGGATGACTAAGCTGCAAAGCAAAGCACCGATAATAGCAACAAGACTCAAATATTGAATCCAAGTGAATGCATTAAGAGTGGTTCTCTTGAACTCATCGGGCAAATCTTCATCTGCGAAAGGGTCATCGTCTTCTTCATTTTCCGAAGCTTTTCCTAACATTCCAGACTTCATCTGACCTGAAGTTCCTAACAAACCGGACATCAATTGTACCTCTTCCGGTGACCTGTCTATAAGCCTCGACTTGGTACTCCTCAGCCTTGATAACAGACCCGACTTTCCGTAAGGAGCTGAGACGTTCGATACACGTCTCGACGCATTGTCGGTCTTATCATTTATTCCGTTTCCGTCCTGTCCTTGCGATTGGTTATGGAAACTGGCAGCGCCTGTTTCGAAAGAAACTCTTCTAGAGTCTCGAGATATAGCGGACGGGTCATGTCTAAGATCATCTATCTCTATCCCCATCTCTAATGCAATCTCGTTGCTGTTGGTGCTTTTGTTCATGAGATGATCATTCATCATCTTCCACGATTGTTCGCCCGCTGGCCATCGTTGCTTGTAATCGAAGTTATCGTTACCACCGTCCATCCTCTCATTCCTATCACCCCAGAACTCGTAATTAGGTTGCCTAAAACTGGTTTCGTGATTTGAATCTCTGTTGCCCGTCCTTGATTCTGCCGGCTCGAGCGATACCGAAGATTTCATGGGATCACCATCCATGATGAATAGCGCTTCCTCGTGGCTATCGAAATCGGATACAATGGGAACCTCTTCGGTGCTGGATTTATTGCTGCCTTTTCTGTTTTCCTCTACATTCTTGGACGAGTTCTACGACGAGAAGGCCTTCGGTTTCCATTTGGGCATTGAGGATTCGCTTCAATGAAGGCCATGGATGCAATCGCTGCATTGCAGCGTGCAAAAATTTCAATCTTAAACGTGGGGTTTGGGGTTGCTAAGATGTTGATGTCGTGCTTGATCTACTTCCAAATGAGTTTTTCTTTTCTTTTCTGTTGAGAAAACTGGAAGAGAAAAAATCGTTAATGAAAACATTCTAACAATCAACAACGGCGGAGAAAGAGAGAATCAATATGAAGCGAAGAGTAAAAGGTGGAGTTGAAGACGAAAGAGACGGAGAAAATGCATGGTTACACCGTTACTGCTAATTATAAAGAGTAAATTAATATATAAGAATTTCTGGGTTTTTCTTTCATCTGTAATAATTAATATTTTTTCTGGTCAATATATATCTAATTCCCAAGCTCAAGGTCTTTTCCCTCAAATAATACCACATTTTCTAATATTCGTAACATTTTTTTGTACCAGTAACTTTTGTATTTTTATTCAAGATTGTATAGACGTCTTAATAAAAATGTTGAAGGGTAAATTATAAGTTTTTATCATTCAATTTTCTTTTCTTTATTATTTTGATCATTAAAATTCGTAAAAAGATATACTCGTTAATATTTTCTTTGTTTTTATTTTTATTACTAAGGTGTTAAATCATAAATAAAAATGATGGCATAGCAACCACGTGATGCTGATATAGATTGCTTTTTATCGACATGGAATTTATATGCGATCCATGTCATTTTTCTTTTTTTTTCTTTTTTGATTTATCTTCTTTTTCTAAAAATAAAAATTTTACAATTTCAATCACATGTCACATCAAAGCTCCAATTATTACTCTCTATCATCTTTTCTAATCATTCAAGATATTGATAAACTTGTTTCATTGTCTTCCATCACTCAATATTTTATATTTTACCTAAATCACTTTAAAAGTCATAAAACTAATGAAACTTTAAATCATTCTAATTCATAATTCGACCAGCGTGAAATTAAAATATACAATTAACTTCCTCTTTTTCCACCTCCCCACCATTAGAATTTGAAAGAATATATTTCACCATCTAAACTCATAAAAAATCAAAACTAGGAGTTTATTTCACAAAAAATAAGAAAGTCTTGAAGTCCTTTCACATTTTTTAAAAGAGAAATATCCATTCAAAATGCTTTAGGCATTTAACGGCAAAGTGGTGAAAAAGTCGAAAGTTCAGCAAGTAAATTAATTTTTTTAAAACCTCAGTGACTAAAATATAAGTAAGAAAAAGGTTGAGTGATGACATTTATAATTTATCTCATTTTTATTAGTTTATTTTTTTTTGATACACATGAGAAAACAAAATTCTAAAAACGCAGCTCGCTCGCTTCGTTCTTATCAGCTCCTAACAACCCCTGCATTTCAGTTGGAGGCGACCACAAAATGGAAAATTCTTCTTATTGATTAAGCGCGAGGTTCGCCAGCTTATCAGCGCATTTATTCCCCTCTCTCCAGATGTGTCGAACTTCAGAAACCCATCCTTCCTTTATCATATCTAAGCAGTCGTTTATCAGATCAGAATCTGAAAAATCGTCCGTCCTATCTCCATTGAAGAAGTCCACAATCCATTTTGCATCCATCTCTAGGATCAAATTCTGTAAACCAAGACTTTTAGCCAAAATGAGACCCTGTCGAGCCCCCCAAATTTCCGCGATCGAACTAGTAACCCTCCCTAGTCTCAACATGAAGCCCGCTTTCCAGTCACCCTTACTGTCACGGATTAAGCCACTTGCCGTAGCCAGGCCTGAATCCAACTTATACACCCCATCAGTGTTAAGAATCCAACCTCCCTCAGGAGGTTTTTTCCATTTAATCCAACAAGGATCATTAACCACTATGCTATACGGGTTAGACAGGACCTTCTCTAAATTCCTTGCAAACTGTTTTGTAGAATGTATAATTTTAAAATGATCAACGCTCATCACTTTAAAAATCCTTTCATTCCTGCTTTTCCACAGGCCCCAAATAGTAGCCATGAACAAAGGACCCCATTCTAATCCATCCAACCCGACCTTCTTTGAAAGGCAATTCCTTTTCAACCAACTCTTGAATTCCATCGAACTAAACTGACAGTCTTGCTCCTTCGCTTTAAGTTCTTCCCAAACGAAATTAGCTACTCGACACGTCCGGAATATATGATCAATTGACTCTGTATCATCTCTACAAACTTTGCAATTCACATCCTGAGACATGTTCTTCCTGCATCTAACTTCATTTATATTAAGCTTGTCAAGATAGGACAACCAAATAAAGAATCTAATTCTTTCACTAGTTCTAGTTTTCCATACCCACGTAAGATTTTCTCCATAATGACCACCCATTACCATTGTAGACATGGTTTGGTAGGCTGAAGAAACCGTGAACTGCCCATCCTTGGAGAAGCCCCACGTGTTTATATATTGTTCGAGTGGATCATTTAAATGCGGTAACAAAACTCTTTGGATTTCCATTCTTGTATCTTCAGAGATAATGTGCTGAACTCCTTGAAAGTTCCAACATCTGACATCATCTATGTAACTAGCCACCTCTTCGTTACTACTCGGGTTATCCATTAGAGGATACAAATTTTTAAGTGGTTCCTTGCCCACCCACCAGTCCTGCCAGAACTTAGCTTGTACACCTGATTTAATCTGCCATTTACGCCCTTGTTTTATTAACTTGCGAGTTCCTAACATGCCTCTCCAAGTGGACGAACAATTCCCTCTTTTATCTGCTTCCAAGAATCCTTTATGTTTTAGATACTTACCCTCTATCACTTTGCACCATAAATTTTCTTGTCTGGTGAGAAGTTTCCAGCTGTTCTTCGCCATGAGAGCGATGTTCATTAACCTTGCCTTACGAATGCCTAAACCTCCCGTCATTTTGGCTTGACAAACTTTATCCCAGCTGACGAGATGATTATGAACATACTGGATGTCACCTCCCCACAAAAAAATTACGATTCAATCTGTCCAGTTTATTACACACCGAAGCAGGAAGCACGGACGTTTGCATCACGTGAATTGGAATAGCATTAGAGATGCTTTGAATGAGAGTTTTTCTTCCCGCCATGGATAAGACACGCCCTTTCCAGCCCGCCAATCTTGTCATAACTTTCTCAATGAGGGGATCATAGATTCTTGAAGTAACCCTTGTGTGGATTATAGGGACTCCCAAATAGGTTCCCAAGTTATCCGTAAGAGGGATACCACACAATTCACTTAAGTGATGGGCTGTAGAAGAACTAATATTTGGTGAGATTAAATTTTTTTATTTCAGGAGATTTACCTCAACTCCAGCTGCTCGGCTAAATTCATCAAGGTAATTTTTCATATGCTGCATTTGAATGGGATCGACTTCTGCAAACAATAGGAGATCATCCGCAAAAAATAAGTGACTTAACTCAATTCTCCCCCTCGAGCTCTTAAACAGTTTCCAAATTCCCCATTCAACTTTCTCCATAATGATGTGAGACAGTCTTTCCATAACTAAAATGAACAAGTAAGGTGACAACGGATCACCTTGGCGTAGTCCTTGCTCAGGATTCAAACTCTCAGTGATTTCCCCATTCCATAACGGTTCAATTATGCACGAAGAAATACAAAACATTATCGTCTCTATCAGTCTTCCAGGAAAATTGAAGTCTTGGAGGGTTTTCTTGAGAAATTTCCAACTAACGTTGTCATATGCTTTCTGAAGATCAATTTTAGCAATCACCGCACCCTTCCTTCCTTTCAGTTTCATCATGGAATGAACTGCCTCCTGAACGATCAAGATATTATCCGACGTGCTTCTACCTTTCAGGAAGCTGTTCTGGTAGGGACCAATCAGCCTTTGCAACAAAGGACACAAACGACGAACAACAATTTTGGAGAAGATCTTGTAAGACGTATTCAAAATGCTAATTGGCCGAAATTTAGTAATGTTATCTGCTGCACCAGATTTCGGGATAAAAACCAGGAAAGCTCTTAAAATTTTTGTCTCCATCGTTCCCAACTCCAAGGTTTTGTTCACAAAACCACATAAGATATTTTTAACCGTGTCCCAATTCTTTTTATAGAATATGGGTTGAATACCGTCTGGACCCGGAGCTTTCAAACCCTTCATAGAAAACAAAGCTACTTTAACTTCCTCCAAGGTGACTTGCTTCATTAGCTCTATTCTGTCTTCTCCATTTAATCTAGGCATGAACCTATCATAATCCCTTGACAACTGAACATACTCTTTCCCAGCGAACAAACCCTTATAAAAATTACAGACGTGTTGGCAAATAGTCTGTTTCTCTGTGATCCAATCGCTCCCAACATATAGACCAACAATTTTATTAAATTTGCGCCTGACCATGGTCGTTAGATGAAAAAACTTTGTGTTCCTTTCACCATTCAAAATCCAGTCCAGTCTTGATTTTTGAAGCAAAAAAATTTCCTCCTGCTCCAACACTCGTTGATAGTCGGCGTCCAGGGTCTTTTCTAATTCTTGCAGGTTAACCGAATTGAAATAGTATGTAACACCACAACCCGTATCCAACCCGGATACGAATCCGAGGTGTCACATTGACCTTTAAAAACATGTACTTGTATAAAATAGTGAGTAATTTAAAACTTTTATAACATATAAATGACTAATTTACATAAAAGACATTTTCATTATTACAAAACCAATCAGAGCATGTATCTTTCACTTATTATTTACATATAACTATTCGAAACATTTATAAAACGGTTCATAGCTTAAACAATAGATCTTTTGAAACATGCCAACTAGAACTTTATATACTAAATACATATTATTTACATCTTTTCTGAACTGACTTTTAGTAAGAAGAACTGACATGTCTTGCTCCACATGCTCTTACTCTTCTCGAAACCTACGTGTAATCACTTACACGCTAAGTCAAAGACTTAGTGAGGCATATAAATATAAGGTAAACGGTAACTAATAATCATACCTAAACAATTACTACTATCATTTCATCTCTCATACTTTACATATACAAATATATGCATACATATATGTCATTATCATTCATATCTCTTATCTCATGCTCCTATGATCTCTTATGTCCATATCATATAACATATACCATAACCAATTGCACATAAATATCATGTCATGTACACTATATATATATATACTATCATAAAACATATACCCAAGCAATTATATTATCATCTTCATTTCTTTCTTATTTTTTTTCACTATCATTGATTCCTTTCATCATATGGTCTTATAAGTTACCATTTGTACAATCAATATCACACATGAAATTCCACAAGGAAACAAATATTTATCATATCACTTTATTATATTATATTTAATAGCCATGATACTCATGTGAGAACTAAAGATATGCGAGTACATAAAGGTTGTGCACTAATGTTGTCACCACAGCTCATATAATTACACGAAGTGCCACGTAGAATTGCACCGGAGTGCCGCGTAGAATTGCACCGTAGTGCCATATAATAATGTCCATAAGGACCACATATCATTCCTTAAGAATCATATACATATACTAGGGATCAAGTATGTGTCTCACCAGACTTCACATGTTCCAAAGAATACATATATGTCCGAATGACCACATATCATTCCTTAAGAATCATATACATATGCCAAGGATCAAGTATGTGCCTCACCAGACTTCACACATGTTCCAAAGAATACATATATGTCCCGAAGGACCACATAGACCCTCGACTCTTGGCATGCCAACTATACCCCTAGCTCTCATGACACATAACATGGGCATTATCTTTATATCCTTTTACATATTCATGTAACCATATCATATATTCATAAGCTCATGGTTTCATTAACATATACATGTAATCACGTATTTCAGGTCAATTCTCACATGAGTTCATATTCATATAAGCATAGGATTCACCCTCATGTATCACATACTTTCTCTTCATTTGGCTCATAACATTCTCATGTGTTCATATAACATGTAAATCATTGACATCTTCATGTTATCACATAAACATATCATCTTACAATACATACAAAACACATCAATACATATATTCACATATACGTATCATTTCATTATCCTTATTATTATTCTTATCACACCATTAATCCTTTTTTTCTTACCATATTCATATCAATAACACATATATCATGCACACATATAAATCATAACAAATACATACTTCTATGAATTCATGTTTTTCACTATTGGAAATAGACTTATCACAAGTCTTATTTTCCCTTGAACCTCATATACTAGAGAAAGTACACTCACCTTAGCTTTGCTTTGATTCGATTCTAATCCTTCAGTTGATTCGGAATGGGATCACGTTCTATATCTACATAATCATACATAGATCTATATCAGTATCATAACTAATATACTCTAATGGTTCACTCTTTAGACCAAGAGAAAAGTCAATTTCATCTTTTAATGAAGGTATGCATCGATGCACTACTGATGCATCGGTGCATAAAATGTATTCGATGTTGTATTATTACTGGAATGCATGCCTTATGCATCGATGCACTAATTGCATTCAATGTTTCCTTATTAATGGGATGCATCGATGCACTACTTATGCATCGATGCACAAATTGCATTCGATGTATTTATTTTAAAAGAGTGTATCGATGCACTACCAATGCATCGATACACCTTCAAACAATTTCTGGGTTTTAACATTGATGCATCGGTGCACTATGAATATGCATCGATGCACTCTGCCCAGAACCTCTTTTTGAACCCGAAAAATCCTTCTTTTTGGATTAAATCCTTCATATTTCAACCCTTTCATATCCTAACTTTCATATACATAATTAAACTCATTATATTCATTTATCTCATCTTAACCTTAATATCCTCTCCTCTTTAGGAATTTCAAGAATCATACCCTATTTTCCACATGTTTAAAACCCAATTCTAACACTTAATACTTCTTAATTAAGCTGATGGCAAGTCAAATCCAACTTTAGAACTTCAAAAACCTTTCATAACAAAAGTTCATTTAAAAACCCTTAATAGAAATTCCTTTCTAATTCTATCTCTTTGGTGTTTTAAACTTATATAAGCTTTCCTTAAGCTTATAACCCTCAAAGACTCAAATCCAACTTAAAACTTTCAAGAAATCAAAAGCTAAATCAAACTTACCTTTGCTCTTGGCTTCCACGTGAAGAAGAAGAAGAAAGGAGAAGAGAACTCTGGAGAATTCTCTCCCTTTCCACGTGTATATAATTCCATTTTTTATTCCTAATGATCAATGACCATTTTACCTTATTCCTTTAATAATTACTAAATAACCTTCATCATATATCCAATAATCATTGAACTATTCATTCTTCTACTTTAGTCATCAAATTCTGAAACTTTACAAATTGGTCACTAACCCATAATTTGGGATGTTACAAATCTCCCCTCTTTTTAAAAAAATTCGTCCTCGAATTTTCACTGCACATCCTGAGAAGGGCATATCTTCTAACGTTCTCATGCTGCTTTCTGAACTTAAACTTTTGTATCATCTTAATAACTTGGTTCTATCTTTCCATTTGGACTACCTTTTACTTTATATCTCCTATCATGTCATTATCAGATAGACAATAACATTAATCTTATTACTCAAACCATAAACCAATCAAAATTCCTTGTCAATCTTCAATTGTCTTTCAAGAATCACCAAACTTTTATTTCATCCTTACTTGTTTACTTTATATCTCCTATCATGTCACTTATCAGATAGACAATAACATTAATTTATTACTCAAACTCATAAACCAATCAAATTCCTTGTCAATCTTCAATTGTCTTTCAGAATCACCAACTTTATTTCATCCTTACTTGACTGACTCCAAAACTTCCTTAATACTAAATCTTTATTCATTTCTCTGACTACATTCACTTGACCAAGAA